AACCCTCTATTAATAAAGATTTTCCATTATTCCACAGATGTTCGTATTATTTTGTCTTCCGTCTGTATATATACATATATAGCTCAAACTATTTTTGCGACGTCTTTAAAAAATATATGCTTTCATCCTGAAATATGTCTGAGAAATTAAGGTAATATAATAAAAATCCATAAATTCATGTCTAAGGTACCAGGATCATTTTGGGATTAAAATCAAGAAAATATCTCTTTCTCATGGCAGTTTCGGTTCACAGAGTTCATAACTTATGTTATGTAAGCGACAAAATTTCTCTACGCTTCTAGAGGGTTTAAATATTTGTGATATAATATATGATTAAAACTAAAGTATATTATTAATGTAAAACAAAAAAAAAAAAAAAAGAAAAAAAGAAAAAAAAAAAAAAAAAGAAAAAAAAAAAAGAAGTAATAACATCAATAGTTGAAAAATAGCTGACAGTTTAAGGACACAGAGTAATAGAACGTATATCTCGTAATACTTGCACAGTCTTTGCTATATTCTTTACAATCTACGACTGACTGTCCAGTAAGAATGCTATATTTAAAAAAATATTTTAAATTTTGAGCGAAAAAGAGCAGGCACCTGGTATGTTCTACTGACCAGAGCAGCACTGTATAAAAACATTCGACTGAACATTCTGTAATTATTTGCATATTTCTAGCGAAATTCTGCACTTATACACACAGAGAACAGGAATATTAAAATCAGTAGTTGCCGTTTTAAAAATCGATTGACATTATTCGTTTTTAATTCTTCAAGATAGAGGATAGATTGCATAATTTAAATGATTCTGTAAGAGGATGGTCCTTGTTTTTATCTGAATTGTAAGTAGCCACACTGCATTAACAATTCTTACTTCAACTAAACAAATTGCTTGGAGTTCATCTTACACCTTTGTTCATTTTGGCAGTGATTTCGAAGAGGAATGGTTAGACCTCCGTAGCTGGTTCTGTCCGAAATTCCACATAATTTCTGCTAAATATTATTGCAATATGATTACCAGTTTGATTTGTAGTAGACAAAGTAGTGACATAACATGCTTAGTGCCAGTTATTAAATGTTTCAAGTAGGACAGGATTTAAACAAGCTTATTCATTTGGTCTGGCTATCTGTGATTTCTGGCTGCTGGAATAACTTTAAAAAAAGGTTTAATTGGAAACTATTATAATTGTTAATGTTGCACATGTGAAATGTCAATCCTAAGTAAAGACTATGTTTACTTTGAATAGCCTATGCAAAAGATGCAATTTGTGTATGCTTTGAAATACAGTAGTTACAGAAGCAGTATAGCCAGCTAATATAAGAAGTGTAATCAGGTACTTTTCTGCGTGTTATTATTATTTCTGTGCATATAATTCTTTTAAATGTCGCGGAGCAGGTGCTGTTCACAACATTTCAAATGTTTAATGAATTTGATGTAGCTTTCAAGGCAACTGCCTAGCTTATGGCTCTTTTTATGATACTGCACTTCAAAGAGACATAATGTTTGAGGAATTTATTTGACTCTGCTCAGCAAGTATATGAACATGAGTGCAAGGTATGAATGCATTCATGTTCAAATAGAAGCCGCGGGCGACATTCGAACAAACCTAACGCGCTTTAAACTTTTGATGTTATATATGTTATATTTTATATGTTATATACAGTTGTATTTCAATGAGATATTTATTCAGCATTGATCCAAAAACTCATGATGATGCTGAATATGTTAATTTACATAATTCAGTACTAGAATATTGTCATGTCGCGAATTTTAATTATTAACATGTGTTTTAAGTTATCACTATTCTATTTTTTTGTTTGTACTCATGTATATTTTAATCTAGAAAAAAGTATTCTTAAGTTGTTAAGGCTTTATTTAACTCATTATTCTTGAGTAGAAAGTGTAGCAAAGGCGAAAGATGGTTACGAGGACACATCTGGTTTATTGGTTTATGGCCTTTTTACTAACAGTGGGGGCAGTAGGGTGTTGTGTTGTCGCCTTTTACTAATGGAGTTTGAAACGAAAATCTTCTTGCTTTTGCTTTGTTATAGTTGTAATTTTGCTTACTTGAAAACAGTGGTGGTGTACTAAGCTTAGTTAATTGGATTCTCGTAAAGCTCAGTTTCCGCTTGTTAGTTGGGGGTCTACTTTAGTTCCCACGTTGTGTGCACAGATTTTTTTGGACTGCATTGCCAGATTTTCTGCTGTTTGATTCGTCGTGGGGGTGGAATTTGTTCTCAGCCTAAATAAAGTAAAATTCTGGAACTGGTAAGATTTTAATTTTATGATTTTTTGTTGGCCTATGAACTTACAGAGGCGGAGAAACCGAGATTTCCTGGGAGGCTAGCACCAGACTAGAGTTCATTCGGATTCTGATTTTTGAAGAAGAAGGGAAAAAAAGAAAGGAGTGGGGGCTTGACACTTTCGGGTCTTGCTCTTGCGAACAGCCTGTACCAGTGGGCTCCGGTTATGGTTTTTCCTTTGGAGTCTGATATGGAGTGATTTTGAGCAGCAGCGATGTGAAGTTAGATATGAGATCGAGTAGTGTTTGCCCTGCTGCCGGCTATCCATGCTGCGGGCTGCCTGAGCAAGAGGGTCTGAGCTGCGCTTTCTTTTCTCAGAAGAGGCATTTTTTCTGCGAGATGATTAAAAGTTTTGTGCGCAATGTAAAGAACAATTTCCTGCGATATATCTGGAGAAATGTGTTCGAGCTGAAAAGAACATTTTATTGCGAGCTGATTACTAATTTAGTGCGAGATGTAAAGAGCAATTTACTACAGATTTTCCTTCTTCATCCGAATCTCCAGATGATCCCTCCGAAACCGAAAATTTGACGTTCCCGAAGTGAATATGTCTGACACTTGGAAGTTTCAAACAGAAGTATGTCTCATTAGTATCCAAGACCTGAGGTTCCAGACACATAAACATTCCCAGGTAGAAGTATTTGTTATTACTATAGGGCACCTGTGGTTCCTGACACATAGACGTTCCACACAGAAATATGTTCCTGAAGAACGAACTTTTCCATGATCTGGCGGTTAGTTTTACAAAAAAAAAAAAAAAAAAAAAAAAAAAAAAAAAAAAAAAACTCACGAACTTTTCCCTGATTTGGCGGTTAGTTTTACATAAGGGACTTCATCCCGTCTCCAGATATTCTTGTATAAAATGGACTTCAGCGCGAGAGTGTTAGTTAAACTGTAATCATAGTGTTGGCTCAAGGAAATAGACTTTCTCCGTAATTAGGAAAACTGGACATTCCTCCCAAAGTATTTCGAAGAATATGTGAGTGAAATAAATTTTTAAGTTTATTTTCTCTCTCTTATAAAGTATTCCCGAATACCATAATAGAACAGTTAATAAAGATTTATCTACCTGTTTATATTGCTATTACTTATGTAAATTAGATATTACAGTTAGTAAAATTGAGAAATGATTATTATTTCAAGTGATGGCTAGTTTTGGGATGTTTTAAATTTGTTTCACCTACTGAGTGAGTGAGTCAGAAAATGTTAGTTTCCAATTAATGAGAACCGTTTATTTGGAGAATTAAAATATGTTACACCTTCTTAATTCGTAAAAAAAAAATGTTAATTATTAATTAAATGTTTTAATTATTGTAAGCTGAAATTTTGTGTGACAGATGAGATATTTTCATAGCAAAAATATGTGGTATTGATCAGTTACCGAAGTATTTACTAGTAATATTATTATATTCAAGAATTTAATAAATGTGTTTGATTCAGAATTTTAATTGCACTTGTTTATTTTGTGAGTTAATTTACTGTAGTCTGTCATGTCCCTCCATTTGTTTGAGCCGAGAGGCTTTTTAAGAAACATGGAGCTTTAATTGAATTTGGAGTTATTGTTTTTCCTTTTACTTAGCCTACTCACAACGCGAACCTAAAATTTAACTTGTACTACCACTATACGACTGACTATACGATTGTTTATAAGAATGTTCTTATGATATATAAATGATGTTATGATAATTATATTATTTTTAAAATACTAATTTTCAGATATTTAACAATATTAAAATCTGAATAGACGATGAATTTATGTAAGCCGCCGTGAAAGGTTTCCTGTTTCTTTTTTAATCTGTCATTATTTGACTTTACGATAATTAAAAGTTATTCAATTGTACACAGAATATTTCCATACGTGAAAAATTCGATAAAAAATAACAGAAATTGATACGATTCGTATAAAATTTCGTAATTGAAGAAATGATTAACATTCATTCTGTGAGTATTTATTAAATCTAACATTAAAAATAAGAAAGATAAAACTGGCAGCTTATACTTACCGGCATATTTCATAAAACTGAACTGGCCCACCAGCGGCCGAGCGGTAAAGACGCTGAATGCTGGTAGTTCAGTCCGAGGCTCGAACCCCGCGAACGGGCTGGCTGCAGGGCGTTTTCGTGGTTTCCCTATGTGTAACGTGTATACGAGCCAGTTCCCTTAGAAAGTCCTCCACGAAGGCATCCCTGCCTTTAGGCAGATAGCCCTCATGTGCTTTGCTATAAATTAATAATCCAATCCAATCCATAAAACAGAAATTAGAAGAATTCTTCAAGAGATACATTTTAATATGCATGTTGATATTTTGAGTTATTTTAAAAGAAATGACATTATTTCTTAACAATGTAAAACTATAATCACTGAATTTTTTATAACTTTCCAATTCGAATGCAAATTAAAATCTCTTTTGGTAGCCTGACTATTGAGGCAAAAATTGGCAGCATGTGCTTATTTGTGTGGGGGTATGCTGCTCAAGAAGAATCGGACGAAAAATACTGGCCGTTTTAATAATAACTTGATTTTTACATTCGTGGTGTTCGCTTGTTTTGTATAAAATACTCGCCAGAAAATAAAACATTTCCGAAACCTTATTTAAATTTTTAGACATATACACATATATATACTCAATTATATATTTCAATTTGCGACTTTCTGTCCTCCGCGCTTATAATAATTTCTTTTTTTATTTTTTTCAGTTCCTCCTGCAACTCCTATCATTAAAGACAGCAACGGCGAAATACTGTCAGGAATAGTTGGTCCCTACAACGAAGGAGACAGTCTTCATTTGATTTGTGAAACAGAAGGAGGTATGCATTCTATAAGTCTGAGTAATTTTATTAAGAATAATATTAATGGATAAGTAGGCATCTGTTTGCTGTTAGTACATTTAGTCAGACTGTTATATCATAAGTTCGAGTTTAACATTAATACTGCTATGCTACATGAAATTTTATTTCAAGAAGGTTAGAAGGATTAAGTAATGTAACAAGTATTGGAAACTTTGCACACTTATATACTTTGTGATATAATATAATTACGATTTTATTGCTGCAGAGGTATTTAAAATTATTCAGGACTTAGCTGAAATAATTTTTAGTGCGAAAGATAGTTATAATCCCGATTGAAAGAAAAATCATTTATAGCATTCTTGATACACAATTTACTAACTGCGTTAGAAACGCAATTTTTTCAGCTGCTTTATAAGTATAAAATATGTCTTCATAACATACTGTTTTAATTGTAATATTAACAACATTCTTTAAGTTTTTCAGAGATTTCCAGTTGACTTTTCTGTTTTATTGATATACTTTTATTTGTAAAATTTAATTCGTATAATTTTATTTTTAGAATCCTAGGCTTTTATTTTTAGAACGTGTTGCTGAAACAAAAAATAAAATTTTAAGCTTATGATTCAATGGATAAAGCTTTAAATGGTATAGATAAAATGATATGAATAAAGCTTTAAAATAGTATAATATTTTAAGGTAGATTATTATTAAAACACATATTAAAAATCATTGTTATTGAAAAGCGTTAGAGGGTTTTTTTTTCAATGAAAACATAAAAAACAAACTTTGACGTTTACATTCACTCTGTTTTGGATTTAATATTATCATACATTTTTAAAACTCATCTTTTTCTTATCAGAAAGTCAATCTTCTATATCTTCGAATAGAAGTGGAGGGTTTCCTTCTCTAAGGACCTAAGGTGCAGGTTTTCCTTCTCTAAGGACAAGATGGATCTCAGAATTCGAATGAGATTTTTGCATCCCAGTTTATTCCTTTCTGGAATTTTTTACTCTTTGCACATGCATTGCAAAGATTCGCTTAACGCCTATAATCCGCTTCCAGTCAACAAACTATTTGAGGATTATTTGAGATAGAAATACGGATCCTGCAGCTGAGTGACAATAAATCCGTAGACGCGGTTCGAAAAAATAAGGATAAGATGCCTTCAAAATTAGCAAAATTGTTACTAGCAGTCTGGAAGATAATGTGAATAACAATAACGCATTAAAGCAAAGCCAGAGAGGATTAATGTAATGCAGCATTAAGAAAAAATATGCTACTTCAGAAACATTGGTGATGAATCAAAAAGCATGTTTTGAGTTAACGACTGAGGTACAGATTTTGAGGCCCCTCCAAGGACTATCGATTAATATGCAGATAATAACGATACAGTAAACTGAATTGGATTTTATTGGAGGAGTTAAATTCTCTGACCGCCAGGCTATATATATATATATATATATATATATATTATATATAGATAGATATATGATATATATATATGTATATATATTTCATAATTACAAAAAATACATTTTTCTTCATTAATTTTTGAACTAGAGTTTTCTTGTTTGAAGTATTTTAATTTTAATTATTAAATTCTTTTTATATATTTATAGGATTTATTTTGAAATTTATTACTTATGAATTTCAATCTTTGGTCTTTGTGTAAAATTCGTTCTGAATATTTTACTATGTCTTTATTACTCTGCAGCAATTGCGCAAGTAGTAGAATAACTCGATTTCGCACTAAGTGAATTTAAGATCATACAACATATATAATGCAGTATATATGCGTATATGTATATATAGTATATATGTGTGTGTGTGTATATGTATATGTATGGTTTAGAACAGCGGCTCTCAACCTTTTGATTAACACGTAACCATCTAAACGAAAGCTGAAAGCTTTTAGTCCCACTACTACAAAGTACTACTACCACCACCACTCTTGAAAAAAGCTCAGATCGCATAAATTTAATAGCGTTTTAGAAAAAACTGAATCAGTATGTTGGAGCTTTAAATTTTGAATTCATTAGTTAAAAATACTTTGCCTCTTTGCGTACCACCTATTTTTTCTTGTGTACCACAAGTTGAGAACCCCTGGTCTAGAATATTTTTGTGATGTCTGTACGAACGCATATTTATTTATGTTCACTTATGTCTAAGAAATACATAAATCCAGGCAAACCGTATCAGAAACATTTTGGCATTAAAGTCAAGGAAATACCTCTTTCTCATGGCAGGTTTGGGAAATTTGGGGTTTGTAACAAACCGTTGGCTGATCAGAAGGTTAAAATAACGAGAATCAGTTTAATATTGAGAATTTGGTAGATCTAGTTTTGCAGGTTTCAACTTAGGAATTCATGTTCAGCTGCGGAAGTGCAAATGGCGAAAGAGAAGCCAATTACAAGATCAGGCGATAAGAAAAGCAAGATATTTAAGCTAATCTATTTAAACTCTTTACGCTATTTAAGCCATTTAAGCTATTTAAGCCATCTACAAGACAAGCTATTTAAGCCATCTACTGAAAAAATAAAATAATTTCCTTAAAAGCTGAGGGTAAGGATAGATTGGAATTGGGTTCGTTAACTAGAACTGAAAGTTTTTATGAACGTAAAATATCTCTAGAAAATCTAACGAAAGATGTTTTCTGAATAATTGTATTTGCAGAAAAGTAGAAAATATCATTTTCTGACCAACATCGCTGGGCAACAGTTGATTTATGTGTTTCTTTTTCCTAGCATATGCCTCATGTTTCTTAGCGGGAAATTTTAAGTTTGATTAATGTAACTTAAACCGGGAAATTTAATGTCAGTTTAACTAATGCAAATTAAACCACATTGCAAGAATACTTCAGCAGTTCATATCCGAAATGGAATCCTTAAGTATGGAACTGCGAATTTAATTGCCAAAAGAGGAAACGACCCGAAAGTTGAGTTTCTGTAAAACACGTGCAGTTTCGTAACTAATCGACGGAAAGAAGGGAAGGACAGCAGATATCTAAGAATCTCGGAAAACGAGGGGTGCTTTAGAAGTGTTAAGAAGAGAATCTCTCTCTTGCCCAGTACTGTTGGTCAGAAAACTCTACATCTGCAGCCAAAATTATTGAAAAATATCTTTCGTTACAAATTAATTTTTCTAGAGGCTTTTCATATTCAAAAAAATCATTCAGTTATACTTAATGTTCCCAATTCTAATCCATCTCTATCTTCAGCTTTTAAAAAAATTGTTTCACAGTTGTTTTCATTCTTCATCAATTGATTCCACCCGTAGCTTTACATCCTTCCTCTCATTCTTATTGCGTTACCTTGTAGAGACATTAAGTACTTTTTCAAAATTCTGGGTGCGGAGAATCATCATCCACAACCCTTTTTAGTTCGGGCGCCACTGTAGAGACATTAGGTATTTTTTGGGGGGGGCAAAGAGATGAAAAATTATGCAACCGCCTTCGCCGGGAATCGAACCATGGACCTCTGGAATACCGTCCCAGCGTGCTACCGTTACACCACGAAGGCACGCTAGGGAATTGGAAGAAATACCTTATAACCTCCCCTTATTACTGTCTTCTCTTTTGTCCTTCGCCCTTCTACAGATGAGCCATAAGGTTTTATGTTTCTGAATATTATGCTGATTCTTTTTGTTTTAGCTTCTCCAATAATCGTTATTCGATGTGATATTTTAATTCAAAATTTGAACTAAAAAATATTTTTAACTATTTAAAGGCACATGTGAGCTACCTACTTAAGATGAAGGACACCTTCATGAAAGGTTTTCTGAGGGAAACTAAGCCCATTCACGTTACATAAAAATAAAATTATACGATTTAGCAAAATAAATTTATATTACGGAATGATTATTGAATTATTATCAGAATGAAGTGTTGAATAACATATCTCTTAATCAGGCGATGTCATTACTATGGATTAATGAGATTACACAAAAAATGAATAATTGCTTAGCTGTTTAATATTTTTGTATTTGTTCTACTAACACATCATCTGTGAAAATCGTCTGCGAGACTATCTGCGCAGTCGCAAAATTGTTACCATGGTTACCAGTTTTTCCTTTACCGTTGTTATTGTTAAAATTGAATAGAAAAATGCCTGTTCTAAAAGAATGAAGTTGTGTTTAATTGTATATTCGGACTACATTTTTTCACACATTGGTGCATCGGTCGGGAACCGAAGCCGGGACGCCCGCGTGGTAGGCGAGCATTCTACCACTGAACCACCAATCAATATCGGAAAAATGTAGTCCGAATAAACAACTAAACACAACTTCAGTCTTTTAGAACAACCATTTTCTATTTATTTTTAACAATAACGACTGTAAAGGAAAAACTGGTAACCATGGTAACACTTTGCGACTGCGCAGATAGTCTCTCAGACGATTTTCACAGGCGATGTGTTAGCGTCGCAAAACAAATACAAAAATATTAAACACACCCCACCTGTACTCTGTTAAGAGTACATTAATAATTAACAAGAGATCAAATACAATACAAATTAATAAGTATAACACAAATACAATTATCATAATACAAATAGTACTACTTGAGCATACACTGTACTTAATGACATTTGTTATGCATTAGACAATATTAAAGGAGAAATATCAGGTTATTTCAAGTGGATAAATTAATTGGATTGGTCTTTTATATTGTCCCTTGTCAGTTCGAATAACACATGAACGTACGTATCCGTCACGACCAGTAAAAACCTCTTCGACAATACTCAGTGGCCAGAGAAATTTTGATTTAGCAGCCCCCTCAAGCAAAACTACATCTCCTCTTTTAAGATCCTTTCCTGGTGATGGATTTACAAAATTATGTGCATTTCTCAATTGCATCAAATAATTATCTTTCCATTTCACCTATAGTTGACGTAAAAGTTTAGTCTTATTTTCGACGAGTCAAAGTTTGCTTTGTAGAAGGTTGACTGCCGAAAATTTCAACAAAATGTATAGGATAGCTAACATTCTCTGACCAGGAAACAAAACATGGGCCGGAGTAAGAGGTTTGGGTTCAATTAATTCATTGCTTACGTAAGTAAGGGGTCTATGATTTAAAAAAAATTCGATTTCGGCTGGAATGGTCGTCATTTTCTCGAAGCTGACTAGCCTTTCCAAGGACTTTCCTTAAAGGGTCTTTTATGCTTCTCATAAGTCTCTCATAGAACCCACCCCACCATGGAGCATGAGGGACAATAAACTGACACGTTACAATCGATATGAAGTGCTCTAGTAACTGCACTCGTGAATAAGGCTATGTATGATCTTTATAGAGTGTCTTTTCTGGAACGAAGAAAGACTGGACCTGTAAAGTCAACTCCAGATACATTAAATGGAGGATTTTCCAGTACTCGATCTTTTGGCAACTGAGCTGTTATCTGTTTAGCAGGTTTTACAGCTGCAAATGAGACATTAGCTACTAAATCCATTTTTATATCTTATTTTCTTTATTTGATATCTTAGAGCTGAAGATTTATATGCTGTTTGTATTCAAATTTCCTTTGTGAGATTTAAATACATTTATTAATTCCTTGAACTAAATTAAGAAAATATCCAGTTTTGGTTTACTTCAATTAGACATATCACATGTGATTTAAATCGGAAATCGAAACCTGTAATTAATATATTTCATAACTTTCAAATCAGTGAATTTGAAAAACATAAACGTTTCATCTGATTCATTGCCCAAAGTCCCTTTACGTTCCTCTAATACATTTGAGATGAAAATAAATGAAAACCGTTTCATGTCTGTGAATTCACATGTTGAGAACGAATCCAATGTTAAAGAAAGGTCTAATGAGTTTTGCTTGAAGATGAATGTCGCAAGAGTACTGAAGGTAGTAATAATCTGTACATTAAATTCTGATTTTTTCCCAGTTTTGGTGAATTTTGGAAATCTGAAGATTTAAAAAAACATTGACTCAAATTTCTGATAGTCATATAAAAAAGTACCGTACATCAAAACGTAACTTTCGTTTTAGATTTCAGATTAGAAATATATTTCCACTTTAGTGAAACTTAATTTTTCTTTAGCTACATTCAAGAGATTCACCCTAAAGAAGTGATGCGTAGCTTGCTCTAAAACATTTGTAAATTCAATATTCAAATTGATTCAACTGTTGCCCTACAGGGTACAGTTGATTGTTGAGATTGGCAACTAGTCTGAATTTTAAGATGTTGTTTCAATATCCGCTTAGATTTGTTTCTCTTCGTGTGCCCTTCCTCTCTAATTGCGAATGCAGTATCGGTAGGCTTCCTACAATGAACCCCGAAAAACGAACGTTCTTACTGGCGAGATCGACTAATTCGGCTAATACTTCCAAGCAAGTGTCCGGTCATTGTTTAAAATTTTGTTGGAATTTTAATCAAGATGCTTTGACAAATATTATTATACATATATTATTGACAGACATATATTGTTATACTAAATACTATAATTAAAGCTATATTCCCATGACTGTTTACATTAGGAAAAATCCGCTTCTTAAATTCCTCACAGAAATGTCAAATATTTTCATGCAGTTTTCCAAACCATTTTTGAATGTTAAGTATCATTGCCAGCGAAAATGTCAGCAACGCGTACAAAAGACATCATTGAACTGTGTACACAAATTCATCAACAGTATAAATTTCACCAACACACAGACAGGGCCTTACCGAATTGTATAATACGATTATGGGATCACTGCTAGGGAATAGTGGGTTTTTGAAAAGGACTGGGTGGTGAAATTCTTCAGTTTGAGCAAGAGTGATCGTGATAGATCTTAATAATTTTTTTTTTTTCAATTCGGTGTTATCCAGTATTTCTGAGCGCTTCTTGTGTGATTGAGCTCCAATTTAAAGGGAATAGATTACAAAATGCATAGATAAAATTATATGTGTTCAATAAAACTCAAAACAAAAGGGATCATAACATTTTACGAACTCTTATATGGCGGGCCAGGAAAAATATACTATGCACTGACAAATATTTTTAATGCGATAATTTATTACTCCTAAAGTCAGCTTTAAAGCATAGCCTGAGCAGTAAGAATGCTGCTTTCATCGCATAAATTTAGCCTGCTTTCCAATGGTTGTGGAATGTATCTCATTTTTTACTCGTTTTCAAAAAGAAGTAATGTTTAATACAGACACTTTGAACTTTTGCTTCCAGAAATCTTCAAAATCTCTCCAGCCTCCTTCGCAAACTCTTCTTACCAAGATCTACTATTTCCTAATACTCTAATGCTTCTTATGTTTAGAGAAACACTTTAGCTTCTGACTAATGCGTTTCGAAAGAGAGTTACACAACATTTGCTTGAAATGCATATTGAAATTAAACCAAACATCCCAGTATTTTCTCCAGTAAAAAGAGGATATGCCTCAGAGTGAAAAGATAATTTCTGGACTTGAATTTCACAAGTGAAAATATGTGCTTTGCAAATGGCGATTCTGGAATAAAGAGTTGCATATATACTCTTAAGCTGTTAATTCCTTTTGAAGTCTATGACATCTTCGGGAACTGCTGCAGTTGTGAAATAATATTATCGTAAGCTATTGTACGGATAGGCACGTTAATTATTCTTCCAGTGGGCTATTTAAAAATAAGATCAAATTAATATATATGAGTTTAATATGCATAGCGGGTAGGAATATATTTCCGCAAATAGCTAATATTATTGCGTAGTCGATTTGTCAATAACATCATTCAGCGCATAACTTATATACAAAGGAAGATTTTCTGAAATAAAAAAAAATATTAATTTCTAAATATCTTTCTGAAAACTCTCACTTTTTCATACTTTCAGGTAAGCCATCTCCTTCGTTGGTGTGGTACAAAGGAAGAAAAATTATCGATGACAGTTATGAAATGATGTCTGCCCTTATAATACGCAATGAGCTCATCATTCCTAAGCTCCAGCGGAAAGATTTAATGGCGACATTTACTTGCCAAGCAACAAACAATGAAATTTCACCTCCTGTTCAAAGCTCAATAACTCTGGATATGAATTGTAAGTATCTTCAAGATTTCAGTCCATAGTCTCTCTCCTATAAGTGCTTGATTTTTAATGTAAAATTCCGTATAGTACATACAGAAGTGAAATTACAAGTGTACAAATACCAAACAGCGGAGTATAGAAGCTGTCTCATCATCATAATGACACACTGTTTACTGACTGAGATGTGAAGGATGGAAAATAGAATATAATAACGGTACTCATCACCTTAATCGATTTGTCTCTCGAAAACTTCAAATGCATTCAAGACTAAAGAATAATGACAGATACATTTCTGAAGAATGCGAAGCCGCACTTAGTAAATCAATGATCGATATTTAAATTAAAAAAGAAGTGCACGTCATAAATTTTTTAAACAATATAGTATTATGTTTAGTCTGTTTTAAGCGCACAGGTTTTCTTTCTTTCTGCAATGTATTAATATGAAGCATTCTACTTTATATCTCGTTCGAAAAAGGCTACTATTTGTTCATCAAAATAGACTCTCTTATATACCTAAATCCTTCGCTATAACATATTCTAACGAATGTAACATATTCTAACAAATTAAACTACTTTGTTATAAATACCAAGTTTTAAGCAGCTGCCTATTGATTAGCAAGAAGCGCTGTATCTTGTAAGTATTAATAACTTTTCCCAACATTAATAACTAATAACATTAGCAACTAATGTCATTCATTAACTTGAATAAATAAGCTGGATAATGAACAACATAACTTAAATAGCTTTGTTTTCCAATACACAGCTTACTTTAGACAAAAAATGTATTTTCGCAAAGCCGAGTTATTGCATAAAAATGTCAGAATGATTTGTGGTAAAAATGGGTCAGAACGATTTGCAGAGGAAAAAATATTTTAATTTTGTTCAAGAATCATTTTCATATAATAAAATGTTAGTGTGTTTACATTTTGTTAGTGTAGCTTACAGCTACAGCATACAGTTATACAACTTAATTTATTCTACAGGTGTCCTTGGTTTATTTTAATGTTTAAATGATTTAATTAGTGCCAAAATATCATAGCGTAATTTTTTTATAATCAGGTTCTCCAGATTTCGGGTAACTACTTTGCTACTCATGGAATTTTATAAGAATTAGATGTAGCTCACATTTATATTCTTTTGGCATATATTTTAAATGCAAGAACATGAAGGCCACTTGTTCCTGCATTTTACTGGATATATAATTTAGTTGCATTATTAATTAATTGAAAAAATATTGCAGTGTCTTTCATTTACCTGTTATACTTTGATCACAATAAAAGGGCATTTCTTTTACTGGCAAGTTACGCAAAAGTTCAATACAATACCTTTCCCTATGTAAATCACTGGCAGTTTTTTCGGGTTACCAAGTAATGATTTTATTTTAAATTTCTAAGTTCGAAATAATAAACATCCGCATTTCGAAGAGTAAAGCTTCTAAAAGTGTAAAATTCGAAGGATGTACTTTCCTGTTTTCCTTTTACATTCTATACTTGTACATGATACGAAAATGTGACTTTAAAAAGCTGCTGATTGTAGAATCTTTTGCATTGTTTATATCTGACTTATACTTTAACACTGTTAGAGGTTTCTCAGATATTTCATTTGTGTGATGCGTTTGATAATCCATAAAGAAAATGTGTCGAATTGTATTTTATTTTAATAAGCGAATAAAGTGAGAAAAATAAACATATCATATCCATACAATTTTACTCATAAATTCAAAATTAAACGTAAAATATTTTCAAGTTGTATTTTAATTATTCCGAAAGTCTTGACTCTTTTTTTAACTCCAACAAGAAAATGTTGCGAGTGAATCTATTTGGAATCCTGTTTTTGATTTTCAGTTTAATTTCTTGTTGTTTTCAAACCTAATATCTCATATTTTTAAAATTTGTATTTGAATTTATTGACTGCTCTCGAAAGTAAAGGAAATTAATTTTAATTCACTAGTATATCTGTAAAGAATATCTCAGCCCTCTCCGTCCTATCATACTGTAAATTGACCTGGTACTCCCAACGAATAGTTGGAAAAGTCATGTTTTTAATTCCGGGAAGGGCCCAGGTATTTTCTCACATTTCTCGTTCCTAATAGTCTAAAAGGTTTTGCAGTGACATCTCAATGTGATGATAATTCGTCATCATCTAGATTTGTTCGACTGGGGTCTCGTGTGTTTGCCCTTTGATTGTTGAAGAATGTAAGGAATTATCGCATTCCTACGTGCTTGCAGCGGCCGAGCAGTAATGTCACTGAACACTGGTAGTTCGGTCGGAGGTTAGAATCCCGCAAACGGGCTGGCTGCATGGGTGTTTTCGTGGTTTTCTCCATGTGTAACGTGTATACGAGCCAGTTTTCCTTAAAAAGTCCTCCATGAAAGACATCCCTTCCTTAAGGAAGATAGCCCTCGAGTGCTTTGTCGTAATCTAAGAAACCAAACCAAACCAAACCTGCGTCCTTGCGTTCTCAAGGCGTAAGTAAGTTAATGCGCGTAGCTAGTAACTCGAAGAACCACGGTTTGAATCCCGATGAGTTGCGTTTTCCTTGAAAAATTCTAAATATATTTCCAAATATAATTCCTTTTCTTTGTCAATTTCTAATTTTCGCTTGATTACTTGCAATGAATTTAGAGGATTCACGATAAATTTTAAATTAACATAGGGTGTTTGAGATGGAATAGTTATAATCTTATGTTCTACGCTTTGCTGTGGCGGAGATGTAATAATATTATTGTGCTTTATTTGAGTTTCCCCCATGTGAGCGTTTTGCTTCCAAACTTTGAAGACTAAGCTTTCATTCCTTTAAAACGCCCACTTAATAATAGTACTTCTGATAGAAATCGTGAGATAGATAACTGCTTCCCAACTTTCTTCTTCGCCCTTGACTTGAATTCTGTGAATGGTATAAAAAGGGACATCAAAGAATGCTGTAAAGAAATGGTATTACTGACCATTTTTATTATTTTTGGAATCAAGAGGTGCTTTAAGTTTAGCATTCATACGGATGAAGAGAAAGATGGCATAGAATAGCATTTAGTTGCAGAGGTTGAAGGAAGAGCCAAAATGAAACTTTTGTGCTGGAAGTTAGATCAATAATGTAAATGCAAGTCTTAAAAAGCAAATCAACTAAAGAACATAAACTGTCTATACTATTAAATTGTCGTTTATGTCTGTTTGTTTGTTGGTGAAATCATCTTCTCCGGAACGGCCGGGAGTTTAGTTTCGAGATAGGTACATTCGGATTGCAAAAATTCGTGGAAAACAATTTCCACCATTCTCAACATTGTGCGACTGTAATCACCGGGATATCAATTAAAAGACTGAAAACGCTAATTTTTCCCAGTGGTACAGTCTCGCGCACTAGAGATAAAATTATGCTTTATTTCGAAAAGTGTTACCAATGCTCGCTTTCAAATCGTAGTGTTTGTTAATAAAAAAATTTGTAACCTTTAAAAATATGAAATAAAAATAGCATTGCCAAAAATTAAATATGTTTATAATTAAATATATTTATATAAGGTCATGTTCTGAGGTTGAAGAAAACACGCATTGTTTATCGAAAATTTTTCGTTAATGTCAGCATCTTAAATTATTAGCTGCTGTTGGCAACTTTTTTTTCTTCTGGTTAGGATAATTGACAATGTATGGTACTGCCACATTAGTTCTTTTATTGATACAATTGATGAGCTGTAAACGTATTAACCTGAAGTATCAATTCTTTGTCTCCTGGTTCTGCAGAAAAAAAGAAAAAAAATATTTACGAGTTGGTTATTGCTTGGAAAGAATGACTTCATTTCTTTTATACTGAAATATTTTTATAATTTTTTGTTTCACGTGTACATAGAACTTATAAACTTTGCTTTGGCCGCAGACCGCTCATTGCTCTCTAGTGTAATTTATTTTTTGAAACAGGAATTTTAAATCATACCGTTTCTTCAGATGCTGACCGGACTGTATAGTGGTTCGAATCTCCGACATGGTACTGATGTTTGTAAAAGTATAGCGTTTATGAGGCATGGGGACACTCTAAATATGCGGCAAGCTGTAAGACCTAAGAGGAGTAGGAGACTCTCGAATACATCCCCCACCCCCGAGGTGCTCTCCTTCAAAACTGGAGGCGAAAATGTGCTGTTTTACTGTACGCCAACGTCAGATGCAATCTTGCTTGCTCTCTTTGCCGCGATGCATTTCGTGGGCTTGTCATGATGGCACTGTCAGGCAAGTGAGATATGTCACAGCACATTTCTTCAATCAATGACTTTCTTCAATTTCTTCAATCAATGATCAATGACTGTTACCCAACATACTTTTCTAAAATCTTTAAAGTAAATCTTAAAATAGCAATTATGAAAAACTGGAAAGAATTCCTTGATTGCCTAGTTACAATCATTAGAAATGCATATGTGTCTAACATACAAATAATCAGAGTCATTTCAAAATGAAAATAGAATATGCATGAGGCAATAATTAGAAATGTTACTTTAAACCTAAATAAATTTGCAATGACAAAAATTCTACTGAAGTTTTCTATGGAGGGAGGGAGGAACTAAATTTTCTAACATTTTATGAATACATTTTCAAATAATTAGAAATGTATTGAATTAAAAATGAAATACATTTGTAATTATGAAAAATAAATACATTTCTAATTATCTAAGTAAATTCTTACGTTTAAGAGAACAAGCTGAGAGTTTAAAAAATAGAAATTTTAATGTCTTGAAAGTCCAATCATTATATTAAAATGCTTCTTTACATTTTCAACATAAATACAGCATGAAACAATCTAAAAAGAAAGTGGTCATTACAAGCACATGTTTAAATTTATAATTCGAAACATATATAACTTAATTAGAACATTTCTTCGAAAAGAATATGTGTTTAAAATAGCATTCGAAGATTCAGCGAAGAGTCTTCTCAGTATTTGATGGAATAAAACGAAAACCCATCGTAGAAAAAGATACCTAGAACCGAAAACAAAGGACTTCTAAAAAATTCCATTTCTGCCCCTTCCAATTTGC